TGTTACATACAAAACAAATGAACATAATACATTGACCCAGATGATTTAGAATTGATAACTTCAAAATGGAATTTTATAAAAGTCCCACCCTTATTGTCTGCAAAAAGTAGCCATATTTCATTATTAAAACATCAGCGTTAAGATGATCGCGAATTTGAAGATTGTTGTAAACCTCTTCAATTTAAGTTGTCAAACTCTTAATCATTAATACAGATACTAGAAAAGGGGCTTCATTCGCAGATGGATAAAGCAACATGTACTTTACAGTGACGTGATCTTTATTGACATGCATTGTCCGCCTTCCTTGTTCTTGTCTAATCTTGGGCTCAGATGGGAAAATCCTAGCACCAAGATTATACTGAACACGCCCAAGCTTACGAAAAACCGTGGGCATTATTAATTGGCTCTGAAGCTCTACAACATCTAAAACACTGTGAAACAAAACCTAATTTATTTCCAACACAATGCAATATTGACATTTCACGAGACAGGACATCACATAACAACATACAAAAATCACTTTTTACACCTGAACCAGCTAACAATTGAAGGAATATAAAGGTAACTTTAGATCGCCTAGCTGCACTACGCCTAACTTCGAATATCGTTTAGCACAGCTTAATTTAATATAAATAAATCTTTGAACAATTGTTGGGCTATCAACTGATGGATTATGTGGTTTAACCCACTTAAACCCAGAAAACAATTCAGAAGAAGCAATGTTATCATAGTCTAAATATAAATCCACAACAATAAAATCCTTACCGCTAACCAAACTTTTGCAAATTTAGCAACTGTTCTGGTTTATATTATCAACTTTTTCGCGTTCTTTTTCAATTTCAAATTTTTTTTAGCAATTTTGAATTACAGCTACGAGCAGATGGAAATTTACGGTATGTTGTTTTAAGTTGTTTTAATTTTTTAAAATAGGTTGGAACTGCTCCTCCTCCTTAAGCCTAACACTCATAGTCTCTAATTGAGAACTTAATAAATTATAACGTGTGTCAAGAGTCTTGTTAATAGAATGCAAATCTGTAAATTCAGCTTCCAACATTAATACCTGCATTTTTAATTTTTCTATATGCTCCAGATTAACTAGTTGCTTCGAAATTAATTCTTCGACTTGACCACTTAGCTTCTGATTCCTATTTAAGATATAAAAATCACCTGCATCTGCTGACTTTTTTTTTTTAATTTGTGGAGCTTGTGATAGTTGCATTTTAAAAAATGCTTCGTTTTTTAAAGCTTCAAAAAACTTTTTATAAACTGTTTTTTGACGTGTTAGATTAATGCACATTTTATTAAACTCATCAAGTTACAAGGCAAATTAAAATCAAGCTGCAAAATAAAGTTCAAAAATAACAACACATCTTTTCTTAATTTAAAGACTGTCAGTAGAATTGAAAACACATTGTTAGTGATCTTATCTGCGTTAATTAATCGCTTAAAAAAAGGAAAGTTACTTGCATTATCCCAGCCATCTTACCACCCAATTTATAATTTTAAAATCTCCCTTACAGTAGAATACATATTTAAAAACAAATAAAATAGACGTCTTAATAACTATATAACACAAAAAAATAGAATAATATTTATCGACATATATATGCACTAGACAAATAAGGATTTAAAAACTTATCTGTTATTAGTCTGATTAGCCAAGAGAAAAATTTACGCAACTTTATTTATACTTTAAAAGTTGACTCGTCGAGACAGTTCTTTAGATAAAATTCATACGACAATAGTCTGGGACGTATCGATTTTTAAAAACAAATATTTACGCCAAGAAACTAGAAAAATGTTGTTGCTAAAGATGCCAAGTTTGAAGACATATTTGATAACATAGCTGAAGGTACTGAAAATAAACTTTGAATTTTCTTATGCAGAATGGATTAAAATTTTACTGCACGTATCAAAAATATTTTTTTTTACAGTTCAAAGTAACAATTTGAAAAACATAAATGAATAAAAAACTGACTTTTTGTGAAAAAACCGCGTGCAGTAAAAAATAGATAGTGTAGACATTCATTGATAAGTGCTCAAAATTTCAACTAGGGTAAAGTAGGGTAATTTCGGCAGGGAGATAATTTCGGCACCCCTTCAAAAGACACCTAAAAATATTTATTTATTGGAATATTAAATTTATAGTTGAGTATTGTAGCAAGATAAACAATTTTTCTAAAAATTTTGGTTTAAACTTTTCTTTTTACATTACAGGTACGTTATATATATATATATATATATATATATATATATATATATATATATATATATATATATATATATATATATATATATATATATATATATATATATATATATATATATAAACATTATTTTACAGCATCGTATAATGGGTTCAAAACGTGTAAAATATGGAAATTGGTCAAATGAATCATTAAAACTAGCAGTAAATGCAGTTTTAGTTGATGGTTGCTCAAAATTTTCTGCTGCTAAACAATATAAAATACCAAGGCAAACACTACATGACTATATAAAACGAGCGTCTGTTAATAATTGTGTTAAAAAGTTAAGTGCAGGACACCCAACAACACTCTCAGCTTTTCAAGAAAAAGAGCTCGTAGAAGTTCTTCTGACCATGTCACAAAGATTATTTGGTCTGTCTCCAAAAGATGGTATTCCAGTTTTGTGAAGAAAATGGGATTATTCACAAGGTTAATTGTGCAACTAAGTCACCAGGAAAAGAATGGTTTATGGGTTTTTTAAAACGTCATAATATACTCTCTGTAAGAGTTGCTGAATCAACGTCATTGCATCAAGCCATTGGTTTTAATAGAATAAAATTTAATCGTTTTTATGATGAGCTAGAAAAAATAATGTTTAATGCTCATGGAATGCAGACTATTCCACCATCAAACTTATTCAACGTAGATGAATCTGGATTGTCTATATGCCTATCAAACCTGTAGCTATGTTAATCAAATCTTAGTTGGCCCAAGACAGGTTTTCCGTTAAAATTGCAAAAAACAGAAAAGTGATCCCAAATCGTTAGCAATATTACAACAACTTTTATTTTTATTAAGTTTAATGCAAATTTTTATTTAACAAGGAAAGATGATCTATCTTTTCTTGTTAAATAAATATTCAACAAGGTAAGATAGATCATCTTTCTATCTATTTCATATTTTTTAAAGATAGATCATCTTTCTATTAATTTCATTTTTTTTATTAGAACATGAAAGTGTTTATAGATAAAAAAAACTATTACTTTAAAGTTATTGAATTTTTATACTTTATATTCTGAAATTTTTTCAATACTTTTTATGCGAAAATTGTTTTTGCTAAACTCGATGTGACGTAATGCCCAATTTTACATCGCGTGAAACAGCCGTGAAGATCTGCTATAGCATTATTTGACAAAAACTTCTAATATTCATCAACTCGAAACAAATTTTTAGTTGGTGATTTTCTTAATATAGACATAACTGGAAGTGAAGCTGTTGCTATGCAGGCCAGGTATATTGTAGAAACGGGCTTCAAATTATACAACACACGAAATCTTTTTGCTGGTGTTCCATTGTGTATTAAATTTTCATCAAAATGTTTTAAACAGATTACTTAATACAGTTAAGGAGTTTCTGTTTACAAATCTACCTCATAACCTTTACAAATCTACCTCATAACCTCAAAACCAAAAACTGGGACTACTTCACCACCGTTATAGTTAGAGTTACAACCAACAACACAGCATTTATTAACCATTAATATAATTAATAACGAAACACAAATAAAACACAAAAAAAAACAAATAAATACAAATAAACCCACAAATAAAAGTGCAAAGTTTTGTGAAGTTTAGTAGAGATAGCTCCATCATTTAAAATCCTTTTATTCGACATAACTTACGTAATTATACTTGATTTAAGATTGAAATATTAACAACTACTTTATGCTTATTAGTAACAAAAAAATATCAAATTAAAAAAAAAAAAGTTTTTTATTCTACAGCTTAGAAATTATGTCATGAAAATTATGCAAAAATATTTTAAATTTATAAAAGCTGAATGCTTAAGTTATAAAATGGTATACAATAATTTAATTTTTGAGAAAGTTTGAGAAAATTTCTTTTACTTTTGTCCACCACCTGGCCCACGGTGCAACGACCCCTATTTTGACGGGTCGAGTCAACTAGTTTTATATAATATATACAAAATTATATTGAAATAAATATTATAGAATATATTTATTAAAAAAAACTTCTTTTTATGGTTATAATTGTCATTAATAAAAAATAATATCTCACGAGAGATAATGGTTATAATTCTCATTAATAAAAAATAACTTCTCACGAGGGAATTTAGTATATTTAGGATTACTATTATTAGCAGACAAAAAAATTATAACTTAAAACAAATGATTTAAACAAATGAAGACGGCAACAAATAATACAAATCAATAACAGTTACAACATTTATGAATTTATGGGATAAAATGATAATGCTTACAAATGGTTAACGTCCTGTATAGAATTTGTATGAAATCTTTTTTATATAAGAATAGAACAGTTTATGTTTAGTAAATTTATGTTTAAATTTTCAATGAATTGCAATATCCAAAACTTTATTTGGCAAATGTAATTTGTAGTACTAATAAAACTAGTACAAAAAAGTTTACAAGTTGAGTTACGAGAATGAACAGCAAAGGTGTTGTTGTAATCTTTGGAACAAGCACCCAAAAAAAGTGAAATGTTTTAAACAGATTACTTAATACTTAATGTATCGATGTAATAATATCGATGTAATACAAAATGTACGATGTAATAATATCGATGTAATACAAAATGTACGATGTAATAATATCGATGTAATACAAAATGTACGATGTAATAATATCGATGTAATACAAAATGCACGATGTAATAATACATCGTCATAAACCACCCACGGGAAAAAACTTAGTGGGTGGTTTATGACGATGTTCAGCTATGATGTTCTATGATGATGATCAGCTTCTAAACATTATGAATGCAAATGAAATAATTTATAATTTAATAAGACTTCTTTAAACATTTGATATAAGTTACAATTTCTCATTTCCTTTATATGTTACATTTAATTTATATTATATGTTTATAAAATTCTTTGATATATATAATACACGAGTCTTTACAACACTCTTCTAATTTAAAAGTTTTTATTTATACATGTTTATTACAGTTTATGTGATGCATTTCATGATAGTCGGACGTACAAGGACACCCTTTTGTAATTAAATATTCAAATGAGAATTTAATTCAAGTTTGCGTACATAGTAGTAGCACCAACATTGGCATATTCAGTGTCAAGAAAACTGCACAAATCTTCAATAGGAGTAGGAGATCTACGTAGAAAACTTAGATTTTCGCCCGGAATTTGAAGAGAAGATTTAGTGGGAACTTGAGGAGGCGGATTGTTCGAATTTTGATACAAAGGAGTGAGTTCTGTGCTTTCACAGCCGTCGGCGTCATCATCAACTGTTGGTAAATCAATAAACTAAATTGAAAAAAAAAAATAATAAAGAAATTAAAATCTACAGTTAAAAATATTTATAAAAAAGTATTACATATAAGAGAATAATTTAAATCTGCTCAATAAATTTAAAAGAATAACAAATTTCCTCAGAATTTCCATGTTGTTTTTGTCAATGCTATTAGTTTTTTGTGGTGCGTCTAGAATTGTAGCTTACTTATTGTACTTTAAATTGTCCATGTTTATATTTACTTTATTAAATTTTATAGTTAAAAATTAATGCCAATTATTATTTTAAGATTCCAACTAACTGCTATTTATGCCACGATTGTCAATTATAAGGTTAAAATTAATGCTTATTAGTAAAGCCATGATAAGTGGCGGTTTAAGACTTCTTGAGGCCCGGGGTTACTTTTGTTTTTGTATCCTTTTTATGGGCCAGAGCCTAAAAATGACTAAAAAAAAAGTCCTCTAAAATTTTTTGGGGCCCCTTAATTTGCGGGGCCCGGGGCTATAGCCCCTCCCATTCATTTAATATTGCACATTCAAACATCGAGTGCAATGTCTGGTCGCTTTCTCTATGGTATTTTTCAAACTTGATTTCTTCTGACCTTTACTCTAATTTACTTCTATTCTTCCTTAAACTCACTTACTCTTATTCCATCGAAACCAGTTTAGATACGCTTTAGTGAGCTAAACTTGTCTTGGCGGACTTATTATTGTTATCTGGCCTCTATATGGCAATTAGCCGGAGGAGGAAATACCACAATAATAGTGTTTCAAAATAGGCAATTTAAGTTTTAAGTTTTGTAAATTGTTTTAGTGTTAATTTTTTTTTTTTATTAAACTTAATAAAAAACCACAATACTAGTGTTTCAAAATAGGCAATTTAAGTTTTAAGTTTTGTAAATTGTTTTATTGTTAATTTTTTTTTTTATTAAACTTAATAAAATGCTTTAAAATAGACAGGTTACTTGGGTTACAGGTTAAGATTCGTATATTAATTTTCAGACCAAATTCTTTAAATTTTTTAGTCACTTTTTAAGTGAATGTCAAATTAAAATTGGCACAATTGCTTTTTTCAATATAACCTTATTTAAATGAATATTTATTGAAAATTATTAAAACTACAAGCGTTCACCAATTTAACTCCGTAACATCATATTTGGTCAAGACTTTTACGGTTGTCGACTTTTATACAACCTTGACTTCATTTTTCTCTGACAAGTAATAACCTCTAACATCTTGAAAAAGTCTCTGTATGCACGCTCTATTTCTTTGTTTTTTTATAGTATAAAACAGGCTTCATTATTTCCCAAATGGTTTCCATGGTTCTAATCGAACTTTTTTTAGCTTTTTTGGTCTTTGATTTGTGATAAGATATTTTCGAAATTCAAGCCTTCTTCTTTGAAGTGTTACTTTGAAATACTCTTATCCATTTGAGATACTCTTATCAGGACTTCAATTTTTTTTATCTCTCAAGTAGCTTTCATGATATTAGAATCAAGTTAGGCATTTATATTCCCAAGAATCAAGAACAGTTGATCTGCAACAACCTTTTGCCAATATAGAAGTGATTTGCTACAAACAATTTACTTTTTTTAATGCTTGCCTTGTAATTTTATACAAACGCAACTTTAAATTTTTATTAATTATATTTTATTAGCTTTCTTTTGTAAATAAGAAAAAAGTTTACTTTTGTCGATAAGAATAACTTCCAAGAAAAAGGAATATTATTACTCAAAGATAAAGAAGGAGGCAATAACTGTTTTATAAAAACTTAATATACATGTTAATCAGTAGGGAGTGATTAGGTTTTATTTTTGAGCCCATTTTGTTTAAATATGCCGAAGATCTCTATTACCAGAGCTAACAACAAGCTTTTCAATCAGTTAGAACTTAAAAATATTTTAAAAATAAATTATATATTCAAATTAAGTTTATTATAAAACATATAATATATATAAATGTGTATATTACAAAACAAAATCAACTCACAACTTTAGCAGAATCAGCTTTTGTTTTGTCCACAGCTTTCTCATATCCGTCACCAACTGTGATACTAGGTTTTTTTTGAGAAACATAGCGTTCACTTGGACTACGCAAAAAAACTTCATCGTCAGTGTCTTTTTCAGAATGAATACGAGGGTCTCCGAAAGATTGAAGATATGAAGGAGGAGGAGAAAAATTGTAAGAGCCTGATGGCTGTCCATTAACAGACTGTACATTGTTGCAATCCACGGGTAGTGATCCTTTGATATGACTCTTATCCAAATAAAATGATACATCCTAAGGTTAAATATACTTTTTATAATTTTAGCATATCATTATGTAATACTATACATTGACTCACTGTTGGGAAGCAAAGTTCTAATATCAACATCTAATATCTAATATGACAATATCAACTCACTGTTGGGCGACAATGTTCTTCTATAATATTAGCTACACGTGTTACAATATCAGTAAAAGCAGGACGTAATGTCCAATCTTCATTCCAACACTCTCTCATTAAGACATAACTATAAAAATATGTTTAAAATGTATCAATAAAATTGCACAGGTAAAAATATAATTGAAAAAAACATGAAATAAATATCATTTTTAATATCTTTATTGAGATTAAATTGAACTGCTTGATTAAATCACATTTGCTCACATTTCATTTGGACAAAATTGGGGTTGTGCCATACGGTGTCCTGCAATAAGATATTCAGTCAAGTCTTTAGTTGGAAGACCAGGATATGGAGAACCACCTAAAAAGTTTATTAAACAGTTGCATATCGCAAGTACAATTAAAATGTAAAAAACTTTATGTTAAAAACAAACCTAGTGTCATAACTTCCCACATAAGTACACCATAAGACCAACTGCAATATAAGATTCAAAGCATTTTAAAATAAGAATTAAACATAAAAAAACAAAAAATTAAATTTACACAAAAGGGAATTAAAAGAATTAAAACAAAAATTAACATACACATCAGACATGTGAGTAAAAACTCGCTCTAATATAGATTCAACAGCCATCCATTTTATTGGAAGCAAACCCTGATAGGTTAATATATTAAAAAAAATAAAAGCAATTTTGTAAAAAAAAGAAGACAAAATTAGAAGAAAAAGTTACCCCTGAGACTTTAACATATCTTTCATCCTGATGAACATCTCTGGCAAGTCCAAAATCTGCAACTTTCATTGTAAAATTTTCTCCCACCAAAACATTTCTTGCTGCGACATCACGATGAACACACTATAGAATGCATAAAACTATAAAATGTATGAACAAATAACCAAAAAAGATTTAAAAAGTTGTATTTAAAAAAAATATATAACTTATTTAAAAATAACTTTTGAGAAAAAACTTAAATTAACTATTAAATATTTACTTTTCTTGATGCTAAAAATTCAAGCCCTTTTGCAACTTGATAGCATATAACAGCTAAATCAAATGTTGTAAACTCTTGCTCCATTCCAATAAACTGCTTGCTCCAGATTGGCTTGAATTCTTGTCGCCTATTTTTCATATAGGACAGTAAATTTCCATGAGGACAGTATTCCAACAAAATAAATGTATCTTTCTCCACTCCTAATATATATAGATCAAAAATCAGCTTTTTTTATTGAATACAAATGTACAAAATTATGTGCAAAAAAATAAAAAATAAAACAAACAACCTTTAGTACAAGCACCAAGAAGATTCACAATGTTTTCTTGTTGTCCAATATGGATTAATATTTTCATTTCTGATATCAGGTCTTTGTATTCAACCTGTGTTGCATTTTCTATACAAATAATAATAAAATTAAAAAACATTCAAATCCAAATATTAAAAAACATTCAAATCCAAATATTCGATATGATATGTCTTCATTTCTTAAATGTTTAATATCATGATCAAGCACTATTATATCAATAAATACATCATGATCAATAAAGCATTATTATATTTATTTATATTAAAGACACTCATATATTTTTAATATTAAAGAACACTCAAATATTATTGATAATAAAGAACACTCATGTATTTTTGACTTCTTCAAAAAGTCTTCATATTCCATGATCTTGAACATAACTTGATACCTTCACTTACAAAGCTTACCACTGCCATGGATTTAATGCATTAACCAATTACCACATTACTTGTTTATATCAGATATGCCTTCATTTGTATGGAGTTTTTTCAAAGAGATGTTTTGAAACTTCTTTTATAATTAAAACAAATTAAACACTTAATATAAATCTCAGTCTGAATATTTAAACATCTTTGTGCAATCATGTGCAATGTGTTGTAAATTCACTTGTGAATAAAACACCAACAAACAATTTTGAATGGTGTATTATTAACAAGTAACTTTTATTTAAAGGTTTTTCAGCATTTTTTTATTTTTATTGCCTTGATTATAGCTAAAAATACTTTGTGATTCCTGACTATTATATCACTATAAAGTCAGTACTTGGAACTGATTATTTGTTAAAAAGACTATTATGTCATCAGTTGCTTAGTAACATAGATCTTTATTATACTTAAAACTGTATTTTTATAATTATAATTTTATATTTGAATTAATTTTCTTTTTAAAATAATTAAACTGGCTATTAAATAATTTTGTATTATTTTTACATTTGAATCGGTGGATGTTAAAAGGGTGGAAGTCTAAACTTTTGGCAAACTAAAAAAACTGCATTTTCCCCCGTAGTAAATTTTTGTTATTGGTTTAATAATTTTTTTTTGAAGAGGATAATGTTTTTCATCTTCAAAAAACCAAAATCATTGAACCATTAACAAAAATTTACTATTTTCTCTTTTTTAACATCAAGTTTTAAAATGTTTTAACTGAAAATTTTATATATAAAATTATCAGTTAAAACATTTAATGAAAACCCTTAATGAAATTTTATTTTTAAACACAAATTTAAAAGGTTTTCCAGCAAAAATATATTTTTAATATCTTTTTTTTTTATGCTTTTTAATATCTTCTATTTTAACATTTGGATTGAATCTAAGTAAAAAAATAATATGAAAAAGTGACAATGATAATGGTTAGGTACATCTAATAATTAGTTGGTAAGTTAGGAATAATTATGACTATCTTGAGTTGGTTAGTTTTGGTACATCTGTGAGTAGTTTAGGTAAAATTGTGGTTAGTTTATTAATTTGTTTGGCTACAATTGTGATTATTTTGAATTTGTTAGTTTGTTTACACCTGTGGGTAGTTTGGATACACCTGTGGGTAGTTAAGGAAAATTTGTGGCCAATTAGTCAGGGTTCTTGTTAGTTAATGTTAGTTAAAGTTAGATAACTTAGTTACACATGTGATCATTTAAAAATAACCTTGCATACCTTTTAATCGCTTTACAGCAACGGGTTTAGCAACTTTATTTTTTCCGGATTTCGACAATTTACTTGAGTTTAAGCTGTCATTTCTAACAAGTAAAGATTTTCTTAATGACAGCCTTCTGATAAAAGCTTTGTGTTTCATACTTATTTTATAGCGAGGATCAAAATCATCAATGCCATAAGCATCAGCTATGTAGACTTCACCAAAAGCTCCAGAACCAACACATGTTTCTGTAAGTTATTATTTATTATATAAAAATTTATTACTTTTGATGCCTTCTTATTCACATTTTTCTTTACATTTTTAAACTTTTATCAACATGTTTGTTTGTTTCATATTACATGTAATAAAATAGAAAAATGGTAAAATAAAAAGCAAAAAAATATAAATTTTTTAGAAGTTCAAAACTGAAAAAATAAAACTTACTCAATGTTATTTTATTTCTTGGAAACTCCCACTCTGGAAAATATGGAAGTTTGTGAATTTGTTCAGCAATCGATTTTGTTGGATCAAGCTTTTTAAAATAATCAGGTGCAGGGGGTGCAGAAAGCAAATAAAATCCACCGTAAAGCCGTTTACGCTTAATCAACACTACAGCAATTACAATGAGTATGACAAATAATAATATACTAGCCACAAGAACACCAATTAAGTAAATATGATGACTTTTCTTATTATCTTGATAAGCCGCACTCACTACAATTGGTTTTTCTGGACACACAAAAAAAAATCAAATTTAGACAAACAATTATTTACAAAGTAAAATAACTATAAAAATATAATTATAACTGTAAATTTATTCTAACATCATACTTTGTATATAAATTTATCATAATATCATATTATTATATCAATAAAATGTAATTTAATATAACAATAATGTAATGTAATAAGTTAATATTGTTCATTTTAGTTAAAAAAATTTGTTTTTTTAATGAATATATAAAATGGATTTTCAGAAAAAAATCTAATTTATATATTATTTTTTATATTTATATATTCATTAAAAAAACAACCAACAAAAGCAATAAAATTCAAATTAACATTAAATGAAAAAAAGTATTTCTTATAAATAAACACACTTATTGATATGCTATCATAAGTAACACCGTAATCATTTTGGGCAACACATCTATAACTCCCATAGTGGTGGCTCTTTAAGACCGAAAAGTTTAAAAAACTAAAATAAAAAGTAAACTTTAGTAGAAATTGTATATAGCCATTATGTTACATCATCAACTTTATTGCATTGATAATGTAGTTAGAAAAAATAATGAAATCATAGTTAACAAAGCAACACATTCAAAATGTTAAAATATAAAATATTAAAGTAGTAAAACCTTATTCCAGATGAAGAGTTCAAAGTAACAATATTGAAACGATTGCCAATTTCTTTTTCCCACCAAACATATGGCATCGGATTACCTATAGCTGTACAATTTCTTACAAACTCTTGGTTGAGCAGCGCATAATCACTCACTTGACTATGATTCATTTGTGGAGTGCCTGAATAGTTAAAAATGATTTAAAATAGACTTTGCTACTATTTCCTTATAGAAAAAAACTTTATTATCTTTTTAAAATAAATACCCACTGAAAACTTTAATTTCAGCAGTTTGAGAATCTACTCCTAGCTTGTTTTTGACCTCACATTTGTAATGACCATTGTTTACTTTCCAGTCTGAGTTGCAAATCATAAGAGTATAATTGTATAAACCATCTTTCATATTGCTAACTATTGTATAATAACCTCCTTTTCTACTATTTTTGCAATCCTTTACATAACTTAATTTAGATATATCACTGATAATACTTCCGCTTTTATACCATTGCACTTCTGGCGCAGGATGGGACTTCACAATGCATGATAAAAATGCTGTTGTTCCATCAAAAATAGATACACTTTCCATTAACTTTATATCTGGCTTAAAAATACCTAAAACAATTAAAGTACTTTAAAAACATAAGATGTAAAGCCTAGTCTTTTTGTTTTTTCTCTTTAAATTTCATTTTGACATAAGAATTCTATTATTCAAATTAGTACTTACTTCTGACTGTGACTTGTGATGTAAGTACAACATTTTTTCCTTCTCTAGCTGGTATCCCAATACAAAAATATTTTCCAGAATCTATTGGTTTTGAATTTTTAACTGTCAATACTGAAACTTTTGTTTCAAAAAAAGAGCCTGTTTCTATTACTGTTAAATCATCAGAAGATGATATATTAAGTCCATTTTTTTGCCAAAGTAAAGCTAAAAATAGGCCGGCCTGTCCTGTACAAGTTAAATTCAATAAACTATCTTCGTCTACAGAAATACTTTTGGGTTCTATTTTTAAGTAACTCGAGGCATCTAACAAAATAATAAACTTTGCATAATATCTTTTAATGATATAATTTTATAAAATAATGAAATTAAAGATTTTTTTTAAACAAAGAGTTTTTTTTGAATCAGCAAAACTTACCACGCTGATCAACTATACCAACAACTTGATGAACGTCTTTACCATACTGATTTTGTGCAATGCATCTTATAAAAAACTTGCGAACATCAGATTCAGGAACTTGGAAATAAGATTTTAGTGTTGAATTTTTGTCTTCTAAAATCACATCAGCTTCTTCACCAACCTTCCAGTTAGCAGCAACAGGATCACAATCAGTATTATTTATAGGACAAGACCATGGCTGATACTCCCAGGTTATGTTTGGTTTTGGATTGTAGCTTATAATAACACAGCCGACTTTTAAATCTTTTGCATGCGGAACGAGAACATATTTTTCTGATTTGTCAATTGTGGGTAGAACTACAAATATTTATAAATTATAAATATAAAAAATTATTTTTTTGTTAATTAAAAAAAAAAACGATTGAAATTATTTATTTTTGAAAATTATTAAACATACCTATTACACTTAAAGTGGCATCAGCAACTGCTTTACCAAACATGTTTTTAATAACGCATTTATAGATTCCATCATCTTCAGGATAACGCACTTTATTTATTACTAACTTTTTGGACATAATAGTATATTGACCTCCAGTTATAATTTTATTATCATCTTTATAAAACTCTACTGAGGGACTTGGTATACCATTAACTTTGCATGTTAGTGACACTTTAGTTGAAACACGAGCCATTACTGATTTGAATTCCTTTATTTGTGGTATTACAGGACCTGAAATTAAACATTAAATATTACTAAAGAAAAATTTTTATATAAAATGTTTTACAAAATAAAAAATTACCATTTACAAAAACCTTCAAATCTTTAAAACCAACGCGCTTATCAATTGAGCCTTTGCAAACATAATTACCAGCATCATCTTTAGTTACCCGAGTTAACATCAAAGTCCAAATCTTTTCAGTATTGCCTTGTTCAGTTTGACTAGATTGCATGGCAACTTTTTCAAAAGCCACAGGAATCAACTTTAATAGACCATTTGATTCTCTTTCTACCAACCATTCTAATTTAGCATTATCTCCGTAGGTCTTGCAGGTAACATTTTTGCTGTCATAATAGCTTAAATTTAACTTATTTTGAGGTGATACAACAAGATAAAATGAATCTGGATCAGCTAAAAAAAAAAAATTAAAATAGATCAGAATTTTTTTTTTTTAATTATTTTCTTTTTAATATTTCAGTTTAATAAATAGAAATTAGAAAAATTTTAAACCTACATGAATCAATCAACAGTTGAAGATTTTTATTCTCAATATTTTCAGATTGACATACATAAATCCCAAAATCATCTGATGAAACTTTTTGAATAGCAAGCTCCTGATTATTAATCAGTCTATACTTTGAATCAGTAATTTGAATTTCCTTTAACAACCCTTCTTTTATGTATTTAAAGAACTTCACTTTTTTAGCCGGATGAGACATTAAACATGAAATAATAGCATCAGAACCAAGTGAAGCGACAATGGCATTCTTTAAATCAGATTTATTTTCCAACCAATACAGATTACGAACTTAATAATAATAAGTTAATTTAATAGTCATAAGTAAAAAATTTGATCAATAACAAACAAAACAATAACAAGTCAGCACAAGTCAGTCCAAGTTAATATAACACAGATTTAAGACAAATAAAAACGATTTGATAAAAAAGTTTTAATTTATCTTAAATCTGTGACATATTTAAAATAGAAGTAGTATAATAAAAAAAAATTCTTTTAAAATTACCGTTCACAATAACCTTTGCTCCAGTATTAGCTGTTTTTGTTCTATCAAAACGGGAAGAAGAGAGACAAGTGTATGTGCCTTGATCATTCAAATTAACATTATTAATAACTAGTACACTTTCAGTAACTATTTTACCATCTCTGAAATAAGGTTTAATTTTAAGTACATTGTTGTCAGCTACTTTATCTGTATTTTTTAACCATGATAACTTTGCAAAACTTGCAGTAGTGCTGCATTTGATTTCAAGAATGCCTCCTTCATCAACTTGAATGAAAGGATTCGTTATAGTTGGTTCAGTAATTTTGTCAGAAACTATAACATATGATTATTTATATTAAACATACAAAATCTTTTAATTTAAAAAACTTATCCAAATAATTAATTAATTATAATCATCCAAACAATTAAAAAAATTATCCAATTATAAAAATAGAAACTTATAATGAGTAAAGATGAAAGATATTAAAAATATAATTAGTTTATTTTCAAAATAACTAGAATACTTAATAAATAACCTCCATAATAAAATTTTAAAATTTAAAAACAACTTGAATGTTTTTTTTTTTACTGAATTTACCTCCTCTGGGTTGAGGGGCCATTATAGTCAAAGAGACTACAATTTTTTTTTCGTTCTAAATTGCTGTTAAAATCCTCTCTTAGGGGCCATCCATAAAGGACGCCACCATTTTTTAGCCAAATTTTGACTCCTTTACCCCCCCCCCCCCCCGCTTTGTCACCAGTTGTCTTTTTTCCCTATACCCGCCTGGAAAAGGACGTCATAAAATCCTGCCCCCCTCCCTTTTTTAACTCCAAAAAAATTTATTTCATCTTGCAATGATGTTTGAATCTGCTGCTACACCTTTGAAAAATAAAATTAAAAATATTCTCATACATTATCTTCTCAAAAACACATGTTTACGTAGTTTTCCATGTTAATTAAACTAAAATAAAAAAATATATAAAGTGACGTCTTTTTCTGACAACCATCCCTCCTCCCCTTGTCCTTTATATCCTTTTTAACTAGACCCCTCCCCCCTAATTGGATGACGTCCTTTATGGATGGCCCCTTAACTCTTTAACTCCAAAACAAGAGCCTTGACAAAGAAGGCCATTGCACAAAAAAATAAGTTGAGAATGATACTACCAGGGATGTGGTGGAGGATCAAACTCAGAACTTCTTTTTCTTTTTGTATTTAAAACGGTAAATTGAAGTTTAAATAAAATAAAAAAATAAAAAAACATAAGACAAGTGTGATCATTAGACTTGTTTTATATTCTTTTACAACAACATCTCAAAACATATCAATAAAAATAATAATTACAAGCATAATAAATAATAACATTTCTCTTAGAAAATAACTAATATCCGGTTTTTAGTTGGTTAACATTTTAAGAGTCAACATACTCAAAGATATTGTTAAAGATTAATAAGCAGTCCAGCTCTCTATTCAGAATTTAAAATACCTAAAAAACCTCAATAAGACAAGCTTCTGGCATGTTTGTTAGGGTCATGTCTTTTGGTACCAAAGTACTAGAAGATACATGATCATATGATCAACAATAAAATTGGAATTTTTATATTTTTGTAATGCACCTACATAGCGAACAAGATTCCATTTGTTTATTAAAAGTTTTGTTCTGTTTTTTTTTTTTTTGTTATTGTTGTTTGTTTATAGCATAAAATTAACTTTTTAATATTTACCAATATTTCTCTGAACGGTTGCAGCTACAATTGAAGTTTTTTGTAGCAAAGTCTTTGTGATTTTTGAGCCTTTGTTAACTAGAAGTGTTCGATAGAAATTTGTTTAATAGAAGTGATCAACTACTTCTTTTTTATCTCACAAGTGATTTTTGCACTTAAGGGATTAAATATCTTATAGTATATTGATCTGGAGTAACCAGATCAATTTTTATCAAATTACCTTTAGAGTTTTTATATCAAATAAGTGACTTGCTAAAAACAATTTTAACTTGGTTAAATTTCTTATCATATCATATATTCTTATCATATTTGTACACAAAATTTAAATGTTGATTAACTTTTTTTTTTTTTTTTTGTCAATAAAAATAGTGGAAAAATAAAGAATATTAATACTCAAAGATATATTAAAGCACTAATTCAAAATTAATTAATGTGTTAGCTAGTGAGCAGTGACAATTTATTTTGTAAAAATTTTTTTTGCATAACTTGTCAAACTTGTTTTTCATAAAATGTCACGGTTTTTCTTTTGTATTTATGTTATAGGGTTTTTTTTAAATGCATCCATTTGTAAATCTTTGTTGAAACCTTTTTTTATATAAGAGTGAAAAAAGGTTTAAACAATAAATATAATATAAAATGTAATATAAAATATCCTTAAGTTTTATACAAAAAGCTACAAAAGTAAAAGTTAATGAAATTTGGAGTTATTAGTAATAAAAGTTTAGAGAAATTTGAATTGAGAAAATTGAATTTTTCTCTCTTACCCCTTTTTTTCTCATGTACCGCTTTTTTATTTTTACCAATTAAATTAAGCCTTAGAATTTAAACAACTTACTAACCTGTTCCAACAACAAAGACTGTAACACTTTTTTCAATTTTTTGACCAGTTTCTTCTGCCAAACAAACATATTCACCATCATTTTCTTTTCCTGATATTAACAAATTGAACTTTTGATTTACCAATTTCAGAGTTGAATTATCAGGCTGAAAGTCATCAAAAATCAATATGACATCATTTAACAATTATTACAATAATGAAAGTATTACATTATGAAAGAGCTAAGGCAATTTTTTACATCCCCTTACTGGAGTTAACATATTATGCAAGATCAAGTTATTTTATTGTGATATTACAACTAGGAGAATTACCGTCAAAAGTTTACAAGCTCCTCTTATACTTACCTTTTGTTTTAAATAAATACAATAAAAATAATATATATATATATATATATATATATATATATATATATATATATATATATATATATATATATATATATATATATATACATATAATATATAAATAATATATATATATATATATATATATATATATATATATATATATATATATATATATATATATATATATATATATATATATATATATATATATATATATATATATATATATAATTGTATAAAAAATAAAAATATAATTTCTGATAAGTTATCAATAACTTCTTCAGTGGTGCTATTCATGTATTTTGTTTGATGTTGCTCTGTTTTACATTTTTTATACCTGTTCTGTACTTTTTAAAATTGTTTTACTTAACATATACCTGTAAAATTTGCTCTGAACCACTATTCCTATCTTTTTTTATTAACTTTAAACTTATAGTGGAACTATCAGTTACACAATTGATCTCAACTGTCTCTCCAACAAAAACAGGGCGTAACAAGTCTGTATTGATATCTTTAAATATAAGTTCATCTAAAAAACAATATAATAAAAACCATTTATTAAATTTAAAATTATTACCATTATTATTAATAAGTTGGATGTTAAAAATTAGATTAATTAAATAATGAAAAAAGTTAAATTATAATATTTTATTAAAACTATCATTATTAATAACATCAAAAAAAAACAAAGAGACCTTAACAATAATATTAATTTAAAATTTAACAAAATGATTTTTATTTTATTATGAATTATTTAACTTCTAGCTTTGCATTGCCTCAAATAACCATTGAGTGTGCTGTACAGACTATTAATAATTTTTCAAAATGGACATAAACTTTTAATATTTATAGAATAATATTTTGAGTAATTTCTTCAAACTTCTAACCAAGTTATTAAGCATTTTAGAATCAAAACTTGTAAAAATCTGGCCAGGTACCTAGCAAATAAATTACAAAAATGGATTTCCTTAATCTTAATACCATTTTTTTTTTGTTTCACCTAATTTTATATTATCTATATGTACTAACTGACCTTTTTGGTTATCTCATCTAAAACCTATTGATCATATCTGAATTTTTTTTTTAATATTTATTTATGGGTCAGATAGGATTAACATCATCAGGGCCACCAAGAGAAAGATTTATAGTGAAAACCTCACTAAAAGATCAATTAAATACCCAGGACAGCTAAAAGCAGGCTCAAGCCCTTGAAAATAAAATCTTTTGGCTTTGTATGAAGTGATTTGTAATTCTAATAAAATAAAACTTCAAATGACATCTCTTAGTATAAAATATTATAAAACTTAGACAAATTAAAAAATTACATATTTAATTATTTTATATATTAAAAAAATATGTTATTTGAAAAACACAGGCCCCAGGAAAATTTTCTGTTTAAACCCTCGCCCCTCCTTTCTCTTGTCAGATCTACACACCACCCACTAATCTGGCAGATTATAAAAACACCTCGAATATATTAGTTATCTGGTAACTAACTTATTTATCTCATGTATCTCTATTTTTTACTTGGTTACTAACCTAGTCATACAATTTTATATCTCATTTCATATTTATTTATTTTATTTTGTTAAAAAAAAATTTAAAAATAGAGTGTACTTTAACTTAAATCCTGCAGTTAGAAAGAAATGATTTTAAAAACTTTCCCTTCTAAACCATATGAAGAAAGCTTATGAAGACGTCTAGCAAACCATACCATATTAAAAGATTTTCATATAAGAACAATAAAACTTGTCTCACTGCCTCCATCTAATGCACAACAAACTTTTCTGTTAACATTTAATATGTCAGCAGTAGAACAAGATTATCAAAATGAGAAAGTAATTTTTTAGGCTTAAGATGAGATTTTAGTTTGTTAAATAAAGATTTAAAGATGTTTGTAATAATAGAAAGAAGACTGATTGGACAAAACTTGGAATAGTCAGAGTGTTCTTCAGAACTTTTTAAGATTGAAACCACATAGGCCATTTTCCAACAAGCAAGAAATTAAGATTGAGTTAAGCACTTGTTAAATAGTTTACAGAGTGTTGAAAAGAGTTCTAGAGAACACTTTTTAAGGAGTATGGCAGGAATCTGCACCATGTCTGAAAATAACTGAAGCAACAAAAGGAGAAGTAATTGGGATGTCTATAAACGAATTAAATTGTTTCTCTGTGATGACAGGAATTGGTGGTCATTAGATTTAAGAGTCAAATTAGAAAAAAATTTATTTGTAAGTAGGTCTCCCTCCTTTGTCCTTGCGAGAGGTAATAAGATCAGACCTGTTAATTAGAGATGGAATATTAAATTTTCCTTTGTTGGTGACACTGTTAAAGATTTTCAAAAAGTCTTTAGAGCTTTACCTCTGAGATAAAATAGTTTAGTAATCTGAAATAACTGAGCTTAGCATCAGAAAGCATTTTTTTGCAATAATTTCTTGCAATGATAAAGACGCTTATATTTAAGATTGTAAAATCTTAAAAAAAAGACGCTTATATTTAAGATTTGTAAAACACAAAAATTAAAAAAAAAAAAATTACAATTAGAAATAAATACAAAAAGGTGAAATCTATGAAGTAGAATGAGGCTTGACAAGATGAAATAAAAGTGTCCGTGTCTACCTAAATCCAGAAGATAACACAAGTGGTGCAATTATCATGGATACATGAAGTACATCAGCCCAAGTTATAAAGAAAATTGTGAAAAGAATCCTATTCAGCCTTAAAGTTATGAGAACTTCAATGATAAAGTGAAGAAAAGGCACAAGAATTTTCCATAAATAAAAGTTTTTATGTACCTTGAATTATAAGTATGGTAAAGCTATAGTGAAACGTGGTAAAATAACTTTATTTTTTTGCTTGCTTCAATTTCATCAGTAGAGACTTTTTAAACATAAGGATTATTTATTGAAATAATAAAAGAAAAAAGATTGCTGTCATATGTCAAACCCTCAGTTGATGTAGCAGCACATTCTCTTATAGTAGCAGGATAGTCAGATAGAAGATAGTTAATATATCTACTGAAGTCAATTGTCCCGGTTTTAAAAAAGTTGGCGTAACTGTAAAAACCTGGTGTAAAAAATAAATCAGTAAATATTTATATTTATTTATTTAGCAACTTAATGCTAGTTTAGTAACTTATACAAAATAAATAAACCAGGCTAATACAAAATAATAAATAATACTAAATAAATAATACTAAATAAACCAGGCTATACAAAATTTAAGCAATAGAATTTTACAATTTCGAATTTTAATGCATTTACATGTTCTATTTTAACTTTTTTTAATGATGCTTGTGAACACTTTCTAACGTGTGAACAATTTCTAACAATCAATGTAAAAATTGTCTTAAGACAACTAAAAGATGAAATATTGCAAGTTCATTTGTCAAATTTTAATCGTGAAATTGACGATTTTTACACAACAGCATACAACTATCTTTATATTAAGAAGGAAACAATTTCAAGCATAACCGTATTTTCATGGATGTTACTTTTGGAAGTACCTGTTAGGGAAAAAGTCAAAATTACTTGTAAGTTTCTCCAGGATAGAGGAGTTGAATTAAACGATTCACTTCTCTTTAATCAAATGAGTATTGTAAAAAAAGTAACAATTGAAAAATCGACGAAATAAAAAAAGTCGAAAATGCTTACATATGAAAAATGGGTTGACATTTTAAAACTTTGCGATAGCATTGAAGAGTATTTTGAAACATTAAAAAAATGTCAGTTGATGTTTTCTATTCCGCCTCATAATGGCAATGTAGAATGTATTTTCTCTCTAATGAATGCACAGTGGACTAATGAAAGAAATCGATTAGACCTATCCACTGTTGAATCCTTACTATTAGTGTTAACGAACTATGAATTTAACTGCCTGGAATTTTATGAATATGTTGTTTTGATAAAAAAATTGCTCAAGCAAGTCAGATTATGATTGTATATAAATGTTATATACAATTATATATAAATGTATATATATATATATATATATATATATATATATATATATATATATATATATATATATATATATATATATATATACATATATATATATATATATATATATATATATATATATATATATATATATATATATATATATATATTGTCATAAATATTTTCAATGTTTCTTTTGCATTGTTTCTTTTTAGGTAAAACAGTTATCATCAATTGGCAGTAAAAATCCAGTTGATATAATTCAAAATACTTTACGTAAGTAAATAGCATAAATTTGAATTTTAACATTTATGTTTGAAAGTATAACATCATCTTTTTTATATATGTAGACTGACAACAGACCCTATTTTATCAGAATACAGCATTAATGGTCTAAAAAAGAAAAAAAGTTTAAAAAGTTGACAAGTCTATGTATTGCTATCACTGATATTTTCATTAGCTTATTATTGTGTTTAATTAACTTTTAAAATTAAAAATGTTGTATTTAATAAAAAAAAAATTTTTGAATTTCTTTGGCTATGGAAAATGACATGTATTTAAGTATTTTTTAGTTTAGGATTTTATTGAACTATGTGTTTTTTTTTTATATTAAATGCTGCTTTAAAGTCAAATAAAAATTTAATCAAAATGGATGCTGTAAAGAATAACCATATTAATTATGTTGGCTCAAATAAGCTATAATTATACTAGTCTATAACAAAATAACACAATACATAAAGTATATAGAATATCATACAAAGCATATATATTTATATATATTCTCCATATTTCATATTATCATAACATTCACCCTCCTCTTAAAAGTGTTCAGGTGTATTTATAAGTTGAGTTTTTCTGGTGCTTTAGAAATTCGTGACGATCTACGAGGAGGCAGAGTACTTTGCTCTATAGGATTCCCTCTGCTTTCTAGTTCCTCTTCGGAGACTAACGGAGTTTCATTGCTACCATTAGGGGTTAAGGGGTAGTTCTCAATAGCTGTTATTTCTAAATTGTCATTTGATGTTTGTACTATAGGAGTTGTTCCGATAGGAGCCAGCTGTTTTGTAGACACTGTAGTCTCATGACCATTAGGAAATCTCACAATGGCATAATGAGGATTTGTTTCAATGAGCTGAGCCTCATTTACTGAATCTTCATATTTACTTTGCATTGCATTTCTTTTTATAAGTACAGGTCCAGGGTTAACAAGCCATGAAGGAATTGAAGACCCAGATGATGATCTTCTTTGAAAATTAAAAAAACATTCATGTGGACTACAATTAGTAGAAGTACATAATAGAGATCTTGTAGCATGAAGTGCATCAGGCAAAACTCTTTTCCTTGATGATATAGGCAGATTTCGAGATTTCAGAGTAAGTAATATCGCCTTCCAAATAATTCCATTGTATCTTTCAACTTGCCCATTTCCAGTCGGATTGTAAGGGGTTGTTCTATTAGTTGCGATCCCTTTTGATAAGAACCAGTGCTTTAATTCAGAAGACATTAATGAGGATCCACGATCCGAATGAACATAGCTAGGCATACCAAACATTGAAAAAAGATCATCTAAACAGTTTATTATTGTCTGA